ACACACACACACACACACACACACACACACACACACACACACACACACACACACACACACACACACACACACATCATGTGGACCATGAATAGACAATGCTGTTCCAGTGTGGGGGGGCAGACAGATTGGACAGGCTGTTGTTTTGTCTCTGGATGGACACTTACCAGGTCAGGGCCCAGGTCCCGGTCAGCAGGGAGTGGACCATGGACACCGAGAGGTTCCTCCACTTCCAGGAGCGAAAGGCGTCCCGCCTCGCCGCCTTGGGGACCGGCAGCCTCTGCAGCAGCTGGTGGGCTGCCCTGAAGAGCAGAGAGAACACCAGGACTGAGAGGCCCGGGTGTCCCTTCAGAGCCGAGGACAGAGCCTCCATCCTCTCCTGAGCGCCCCTGGTCCCTCTGAGCTCCTCCTTCGTCCTTCCTCCCCCACTCCTCGGCCCCGGTGATGGTCGCTGCGTGATGGGGGGTTGTAGTGGTGGGGGGGAGAGGAGAGGAGAGGAGAGGAGATGAGAGGCTGCAGCTGCCTCTTTAAATCAAAACGAGCTGATGAGGACCGACCTGCTCTGCTCGTGTTTCCTGTCTGAGGAGGGGACTCCGGTGGATCAGTCCAGAGCGGCAGCGGCGGAGCTGTGCGCGGCCGCGGCTCCTCTCCTCTCTCGCCCGCGCGTGCAGCAGCAGAATGACAGGGGGAGTGGTGGTGGTGGTGGGGGAGCTGGAGGAGGGGTGTGTCGCCGCCGCTGCTGCTGCTGCTGCTGCTCCCTAAATTCACAGAAAACAAGGAGGGGCTGAGATTAGTTACGCAAGCAACAAAATCCCAAGCGCGGGCGGTCCGCTGGAATGAGGTTTTATTTGTTTGTTTATTTATTTTTTATCGGGGTGGGATTGAGATTGTTGAGAATAAACGACTCAAACAGCCACCGGGCTTCTTGTTTACACGTCGGAGCCGCGCGCTCTCCTGCCGCGCGCACGTGACGCGCTGTGCGTAAAAGCCAAAAAAACAGAGGATCAAATCAAGGCGCAGAGGAATCCCTAACTCAGTTTTTGTTCTGAACCTAAAGCATACGTGGAAATTAAATAATCTGATTTATTTGTTTTATTTCATGGAGATATAGCGCCATTAGCCTAACACACATCTGGAAAAACTGGTTTCAACTGTAAATAAAAAAAGAGAGAGAGTTTTGATTTTCAAATCATGACAAGTGTGTGTGTGTGTGTGTGTGTGTGTGTGTGTGTGTGTGTGTGTGTGTGTGTGTG